GTGGGCTTAGTCTGCATTCTCATGTTCTCTGAGTCCTTGTTCAGCAGCTGCTCTTCTGCTGGCTCTGGACCCCTCTGATTCTCAATAGCAGGAGCAAGATTGGCCTGTTGTATGGCATGCATTCCCAGGGGTTGTGCAATGTTTGAATGATTCACACACGTCCGTGGGTGGGCATCTGCAGTCAGTGCCTGGTGGGCCAACCATGTCACTGTTTCTCTGTGTCATGACAGATGTCAACTGAGCCGCAGCGGCCAGCCCAAGGGCCGGCGCACAACAGCGCTCGCCGCCACATGGCTCCCCATGCACCAGGGGCCCTCCCTAAAGGGGCCTGCGAGGCAGGAAGCTAGCCAGCCGGAAAACTGGCGCTCTCCACCCGTGGCTCCCCGTGCGCCGAAGCCCTCCTTCCGGGGGCCTACGAGACAGGGAGTGAGCTGCTGGTCCAAAGACTGGCGCTCCCTGCCCATGGCTCCCTGTGCGCCGGGGGCCCTCCCTCCAGGGGCCTGCGAGGCAGGAAGCTAGCCACCCAGAAGACCGAAGACCGGTGCTCCCCGCCCGTTGCTCCCTGTGTGCTGGAAGCCCTCCTTCCGGGGCCCTACAAGGCCCTAATTGGCCTTCTAATAGTGGGCAGCTTCTAGTAGAAGACATGATGCCCTGAGTAGGAAGATATGACTTCATAATGTGAAGGAGCCATGTTTATTTCAGCTGTTTTTTTGTCACCTTGTGTATTCTAGAAAGCAAAATACACAACTTAGGAAGAAGAAATACAATCCTAATAAAGGTATGAGTGTAAAGGTTGGGGAAATTTAGAGTAGAAAATACTTGGTACAGAGAGAAAAGAAGTGTTTGGGGAAGGAGAATGACACTGCGAAACCAGGAGCAAGTTAAACCTGGTAATAATAAACACACATACATTTACAAAATAACACAAATACAGTACAAGCAATACTGAATTTCACGTGACAGGAAATTAGCAATGGTTGTTGTATTACATATTGGTATCTTCAAATTGGTTACTCAGACAAATAATTACAGGCCTGTAAGATTGATCACATAATTAAACATTAACTGTTCCTTTCAATAACATATTAAAAATAAGTAGTACAGTCATCTTAGCTATCTTGTGTGTGTGTGTATATACATATATATATTCATATTTTCCCCTTTCTTTTCTCTTTTCTTTCATCCCAGTTGTTCTTTCCTCTTGAGCAGTCTCCTTCCCTTTCACAATATCTATTGTACATTTTAGATTCTGTTTAATCTTTCAGGTCCTTACACTGGATAGACAATACAGTGTTTACAAATGTGGATCCAATTTATTTCACTTATGAGTATGGTCTCTAGATGCATCCATTTACTTATAAAAGCCTCAAGTTTATCTTTCTTTTTTTTTT